ATGTAAATTATAGAATCATAAATGTAAACACAAAAAATCATATAGAATTAATATATGAAATTTTGAACTGGCCATAATAATTACTCTGAAAAGTTGAATCTTGCTAAGTTTCACGCCAGTGAATAAAGATCCGTTAGCTTAGTATTCATGCAAAAACCGCATCTTGATAACTTGTACGGTGTGTTTTTTAGAGTCAAAACAAATTCTATAGAACTTATTCAGAAAGTTCGAATTTATGATCTTAAAAATGCACCCGGTGTTCGAATTACCTCAAGTTTGGTACTATTTGAAAGACGCTATTTAGCTTGTTTGTTGTGTGAAAACCGTTTCTCAAAATCTTAAACGATGTAATTTATAGAAACAAAAAAGTGCGTTCAGAGAAATGAAGAAACATCATTTTTTTAGGGAAGTTAGATGATCCCTATTTCATCAAGTTTTAGCAGTTTTTTACTCTTTTCAAATAATTTTTTAAATATATGCAATTGTGCCCATCATCACAACCAGCATGGTTTTTTTCCTGATTCTAGTTGTTTTCAAAGTAATAGTAATTTTAATTCATCAGACTAAAAAATCGTTAATCCAAAAAATTTTTTCATAAACGCACTACTTATGGGAAAGTTAAAAAACGTTTTGACTCTGAATTGCCTTCATTTTCTTACGTCATTTAGCAGAGTTAGACTTCTGTGTTATTGATAAAACGGAAGTTTTAATCAATTTTAAAACCTTTCTTTTCTAGGAACGGTTTGGCAGACAAACATTTAGAAATTTTTTCAGTAATCAACTCAAAAATTCTTTTTTAACAGTGTGTGATTTGCCATAATCGGATTTTTTGAAAAACCGGGGTCACTACTACGATCATTTTTTAAACTCAGTAACGTTACTTGTAATATAAAATGAATGCAAACTAATGTTTTAAACTAAATAAAATATTTTAGCAAAACCGCTAAAAATAAATTTAGTTCTTTAGAATGCAATTGCACAAAAATTGCAAACTTGTTTTACAATATTTACTGATAAATACATTTAAACATCTGTTTGATATCTTTTTCAATACAAATATAGTTCTCATCAGAACGTTATCTTTTACCAACGAGGCCCCCAAACCAGGATTAAAACTGCAAATAATGACTTATCATGTGAAGCAAATTATCGTTGATTCTATTTTTAAAGCAACAGTTTTTTAAATTTTTTATTTTTATAGTTAAAATCTTGTAAACGCGTCAACAGCAAAGCAATTTAATAATTTTAATTTAACATAAAAAATTGAAAACAAAAATGCTTACTAAAACTATTTTTACCATTTGTGTTTTTACATTTATTTTAAAATTTTATTTGGCATTTTCTCTTGAAACATCTTTAAAACACTTTTTGGATCAACCTGAACATAATGAATGTCAAACTGTTTCTGTTAAAAAAATGAATGATGAAAATCTATGTAATGAATTTTTTAAAATTTACAACCCAGAAAGTAAAAGACCTATTAATAAAACTGAATGTACTGCATTTTGGAAATGGGCCAACTGTACAGAAAAAGTGTTGTTTAACACAACAGAGTGCAAAAAGTTTGAGCGACAACTTCAAGAAGTATTCGTAAAATTTACAAAAGAGTGTAAAACTCAAGTTTGTGATTTGTCTAAATTTAAATCTAATAGCTCTTTGAGCATTGTTTTAAATTGGGGAGTAGTTGTAGTAATGGTTACTTTCTTTTCATGTAAACACATTTTTTCAATGTTGTAAATATTGTTTGTTTTTTTAATATAAACTATATTTTAATAATTTTGTACTTGTGTTTTAATGTTCCAGAAAATTTTTGTAATATTTATGACATAATCCAAACTATTTTAAGTTTGTTTTTGCATAAATGTATTTTGATTTTGTATTTTGTTTTATTAAATTTTACAATGAACTAAATAACAACAGTTTTGATAAAAAAATTAAATTATTTTTTACATGAAAACACAAAATTTAGCAATGTTGCTCAAAAACTCAAATGCAAAACAAAAGCAACTGGTTGGCTAAACATCTTTTAAAAATAAAAAACGACAAAAAATAAAATTAAGTTTTTGTTTAAAAACTGTCATTTAAAATTTTTGTACAAAAAATGAACTAAAAACTATTTTATTTTAAACTTATTAAATTTTAAATTTTATTTTGTTTTATAGTTGTTTTAAAAAACATTTTTTACATTTTAAAAAATTGATTACAGTTTTGCCCTGACATCTAATTTTTTTACTCATTTTAATAAATGACCGTTTGTACAAACTAAAAAATATTTTAATTTGTCCTACAATATGAGAAAAAACTCATTTTAAGTAACGGTAGATGTAATTTTGATTTTAATCGTAGCTAGTTCCTATTAAAGTTTGACCAGAAGACAAAATTGACTGTTTAATCATTTTGATCTTGCATAAAAGTAATTAGAAAACACTCTTTTTACATTGACACAACTTTTTTTATGTTTTTTGTTTTACAATAGTTAACAATGAAACATTACGCAATATTAACAATTACAACTCTTTTTGAGATTTCACTTGGATTTTCAGCTCAACCAGAATGTTTTCGCGCAGCTATTCTTGACCAAGTGTTGCAGGTGGATGAGTCTGCTGTTAAAACAGTTGAATTAAACTTGGAACTTTACGACCGCAGTGCTAAACTTGCTAAAGAAAATGTAAGTGTTCGTTTAAAAAAATACATGATGTTTTTATAAACTCCTCAATAAATAACAGGGAGCAGATATTATTGTTTTTGCTGAAGATGGCATTTTGGGCGTGTTTGACCGAGACAACGCGCACATTGTGGGCGAAACCGTTCCAGATCATCAGGGTCAGTTCTGTGATGGCAAATACGCCACATCAAATCGCATCATTCACCGCCTTTCCTGCATCTCATCAACGCACAAAATTTACATTGCTGCCAACCTCATTGACATTCAACCTTGCTCGAATCACACCAACGACAAAAATCACACATGTCCTCATGATGGCTTTTTTGCTTTCAATACCGCAGTGCTCTTCGACAAATCGGGAACACTGCTGGCAAAGTATCACAAGATTCATCTTTTTGGAGAACTTTCAAAAAACCCGGCAATCGAGGAAAAACTAGTTTACGTCAAAACCGAAATTGGAAACTTGGGACTGCAAGTTTGTTTTGATCTTTTATATAAAACTCCAGGGCATTTAATGGCAAAACAGAAACTAATTGACACTCTTCTCTTTCCAACGTCCTGGGTAGAAGAGTCTCCCTTCTTGACGGCAGTTCAGGCTCAATTGTCTTGGAGTTTGAATCACAAAGTTAATCTTCTTGCTGCCAACATTCACCACCCTCAAGCTTCTAAAAAAGGCAGTGGCATTTACGTAGGCTCAACACAAAAATTTGAAGTGGTCAACTACTTGGATGCAAGTACCCGACTTCTAATAGCAAACTTGCCAATAAAACCTGAATTAAACGTTAGTTGCTCATTGAATGTAAGCACTTTCAAGATTCCAATGAAATCTCCAGAATACACAGAAAAGGACCCAATGTATTACTTTAAAATTAATATGAATTTAAATGACACTAAGTTAAAAAAACTGGAAGTAAACAAAAGTGAGGCAGAAACATGTTTTGGTGGAGTGTGTTGTCATTTAAAATATCAAATGGACGAGAAAACGATTGATGATGGTAAGTACTTTTAAAATCAAGGTTACTTTACCGTATAAAATTTTTTTTACAGATGATCAGTTTTATCTTTTGGCTGGTAATAGAACTAAACCAGGCCCGTTTCCGTTTGTGGAAGAATTTTGCGCCTTGATTCACTGCCCTGGAAAATTTTTTGTTTGTTCAGATATTCGTTCAGACCATCCGCTAGCTTCCAAATTTTATTTTGCGCATCTTGAGGGAAGTTTTCATTCAAACACAACTGTTTTACCCAGTGTTGTTGGCTCCCAGCATCAATTGATGAAACTAGATAAGCTCTGGTCATTTAAGGAAATAGGAATTTTTAATGAAAAACAAAAGTGGCAAGTTAATGTTGGCAATGACATGGAAATGAACACAAGTTTACCTCTTGGAACAGTAGCACTTTATGGTCGAGCTTTTGATCGTGACCCACTATACGTTCAGCGTGGTTTAGGAGATTTTAATCACTAAATACTAATATGACACGCAATATTAAAATTATAAACAAAAAAAA